AAAATAAATAGCTAAATTTGATGATCATACAAATTGTGTCAACTCATTGTGTTTCTCTCATGATGATACTTTATTAGCATCTGGTAGTTCAGATAACTCTATTCGTATATGGGAGGTTAGGACAGCAAAATAATTAGTTAAATTTGATGATCATATTAATTGTATCAACTCAGTATGCTTCTCTTCTGATGGTACTACATTAGCATCTGGTAGTGATGATAAGTCTATTCGTTTATGGGATGTTAAGACTGCATAATAAAAAGCCAAATTGGAAGGTCACAGTAATTGGGTTAGGTCAGTATGCTTCTCTCCTGACGATACTAAATTGGCCTCTGGTAGTAATGATAACTCTATCCGATTATGGGATGTTTAGACAGGATAATAAATAGCCAAATTGGATGGTCATGATAATTGGGTTCGATCTGTATGCTTTTCTCCTAATGGTACTTTATTAGCATCTGGTAGTTGGGATAACTCTATTCGTTTATGGGATATTAAGACTAGATTATAAAAAGCCTAATTGAATGGTCATAGTCATTCAGTCATATCAATATGCTTCTCTCCAGATGGCACTAAATTAGCATCTAGTAGTGCTGATTGTTCCATTCGTTTATGGGAGTTAAAAACTGAATAATAAATTGAATCCTCAGATAATTATGTTAAAGATATTTCAATTTCATTTAACACTCCACAATTTTAAATTAATTCTTTTCCAGAAGGCTGTATTTTTATTAAATTATATCTAGTTGGTTCTAATATGACAATCCTCCGTATATCTCAAACAATAATTTTTTAAGCATAAGATGCTTTAATCTAAAAAGGAGAATTTGTCAATCATCAAGGAGTAGATTTAAAATCATTATTAAAATAAAAAGGAAGTTTCTTTTTAGAAAATCAATTAGAACAAAAAGATATGTGCGATTGATAATTATTATCGATAAAAATACTCTATTTTTGGCTATTTTATTATTGTGCAGTATCACTCTCTTTGGAAATGGATGTAAGAACTAGGCAGATCTTTCAAAGAAGGATAAACAATAGCTTGGTTAATTAAATTCTAAATGTCTGATTAAATATGGCTTTAGGGAAATAAGTTTTCATTTCATTAAATTTTTTTCTATTCTTAAAGAAAACTTTTTCTCTCATTTTTGACCCTATTAAACAAATTCTCTCTACTTATACCTTCTAAGTTATATTCTTTTCTTTACAGAGCTTTTTAATATATTTAATTTCCTACTTAACTTCTTATGAAATGGATTGTGATCAAAATTTTAATTTTAATTTTAGTTTATTTTTAATTTTAATTATGTTTTTTCTTTAGTAGATATTATCAAAAGGTCAACTTTGGAATAATAACTAATCATTTTTTAATTATAAAATTATTTTTTTTTTGAATTTAGAATGAGAATTTTGATTAATCGCAAAAATAAATAAAAGGCTTAAAAATATATTTATATCATCAATAATGATTATTAACGAATAATCAAAATGACTAGATTATTCATTATGATAATAATTTTGAGTTATATAAAGATTCTTTTGGATAAATTAGTATACTCTTTTATGAATTAACAATATGTGAAATATTAAAAAGCTTAACTTGATTATTTTTGCTCACTTAAGAGTATTTAAAGACTATTTAATACTTTGCTACACTTTATAAATTTTATCCATTAATTGTGTTAAGATAATGTAACAATTATATTATTAACAGAGCTAAAAAAATAAGAATAATTATATACATTTTACATAATCCATTAAATTTGAATTTTCGTGATTCAATAGAAAATTAAAGTAATCATAATATCTTTTTATCTTAGAATTGATTGCATAACTACATCCACTTGAACCTTATCTTCTTCTAGTTATTTTCGTTTATTTTATAATTCTTTAATCTTTCTTTCATATTAAGTTGTAATGTGTTTCTATTATTTTTAGATAATATATAAATGTCGGACTATCATTATTAAAACTATCAATTAACATTAAACTCTTAATTTATCTATTATTTTTCCTTTCTTTTAATTAAAATGACTTGCTCCTCACTTAATAAGCTAGCAACATACTTATTCTGTTCTATCTCTACTCTACTCGACTTTATCTAATTGATTTAATTTTGTTGTAACTATAATAGTATTCTTTTCAAAGAGTTCTTTTCTTAACCTTTGTAATTCTTATTCATTAATGCTGGTTTGACATTAAATAAAGATTTTAGACAAATTAAGATAATAAAAAATAAACATAATAAATACAAAAATTGTAATACCCTTCAAATTTTATATTAAATAACAAACTTGTTCAACTCAATTATATAATTAAAATTAGCTTCTCTAATGTATTATTAAACTTCCAAATATTATGTGCTCTCGATGATTGGATAAGGTTAAGCTCATTAAGTGTTTAAAGCTTAACATAATCTAAGTTAAACAGTATATGCTATCAAAATGGAAAAGTATCCAATGTCTGGCCAAATAGAGAGTGAGATTAAAGTTCTTAAAGAATTAAATGAAATAGAAGGAATCCCTAAATTAATACATCATGGAATAACTCCAGAAAAAAAGTATGAACTATATTGAATCAATTTAGAAGCTATCTTATTCTGCCGCTCTTACATTGTAGCTTACGGGATTTGGTAATATCTAAACAAATATCTTTATCCTGTACTTTGACTATTGGATTAAGTCTTCTTGATACTTTACAATAAATGCATAGAAAGAGTATCTTACATTTAGATATTAAACCAGAAAATATTATGATATCACAAAAAATACAAATAAATTCAGAGGATAAACTTTTAGAGCCTGGAGTTATTTAACTTATTGATTTTGGTTTATCACAATCTCTAGAAAATTTAAAATTCTAAAAAAAAGTACCTATTGGTTCGTAAAACTTTGCCAGTAGAGCATCTCACAAAGGTGAATAATTAGGTTATAAAGATGATTTGGAAAGTTTACTCTACGTCTTAGTTTATTTGAGAAATTGTATTTTCATACATTTCCATTAGGTAAATTGCCATGGACTTAAAAACCTTCAATAGGATTTAGAAATATGGATAACAAATTAATTGGAGACATGAAAACTTCCCTCTTTAATACAATTACCTTGTCGTAACAATTTCCTCTTGAATTCTCTAAGTTTATGTCCTACATTGATGAGCTCAAATCTGATTAAATGCCAGATTATTCTTTCATAAAATAGTTGTTTATAAAAATGTTATAAGCAACTTCTTTATCTTCCAATTTGAATCAATTGTTCAATTAGTGTACAACTTAATCTCTTGGAAATTAGGAAACACTAAATTTTCCAGCTGAAAAACATCTTTTAATTAGTAATTCTATTCAAGCATAAATTCAAGAAGATAACATTGGTACTGAGTTAATAGTTGCAAATGTATAAGTATCTGATATGATTGGTAAATACATAACTACACAAATCAAATCAATTTCAGATCTAAATTCTTAATAATGATTATAATTTTATTAATGAATGATTAATAAAATCCTTTATAAATTTTATTTTATTTATCAATTAATTTATTTATTAAATTAATAATCATTTTTAATGATTTAAAATTTACTTGTATTATGTCAATTGGGATCGACAGTCTATTTTGAGAAATCAATTTCAAATAGAAACAAAACTTTGAAAGAATGAGATCATTACATGCTAAAGAGTTATTCTTTGAAAATTGATGGGCTTTTCCTATTCATCAAATAACACTTACTTACATTAACTTTAGACTAAATAGAAATTTAATAAGGATGCTCATTAAAAGATAGAAAAGAAAAGTTATATGAAATTATCCTCCTTAGATTCAATATTTGCATTTTTATATGATGTTTGCATATTAATAGTTAAAATACAAAATATTTATTGCTAATCAGAATATTCATAACATATTTGTTAATACATATCATAATACTAAACGTTATAATACAAATAAAAATCCAATAATCTCAGCGTAATGCCTTCGGATACAACTTTGATTAGATTTAATTTAATGATATTAAAACTCAAACTTCGAATAGACTTCTGCTGAATTAGATTATTTGAAAATACTTGATATCATAATTGCTTATAATTAAGTATTAATTAGAGCAATAGTTCAATATATGCTGATTATTTAGGATATATATTAGGTAATCAAATTAAGATTTATGTTTTATTTAATGATTCCTAAAATACTTAATAAATATTATCTACTTTAATCCCAGTTATAAATGGGTGCTTCTAATAGAGCCATAAATAATTTCCTTTTGAATAAAATTATACTATTAATGAAGTTTAACAAACTATGAATTAAAATCAATTCTATTATAAACAAAAATTGTATGATGTATTAGAAACTCAGCTTTTGAATAGATAATTTAATGTTTTCTGAGGCTAAAATTCATAAGAATTATGTCAGAAGCAAAAATAGAAAATTCTATATTTACCTTAATAAAATAATTTAATTATTCTTGTTTATATGATGTTAACTTCTCAATTATTATGTAATTATTTTCGACATAAGAGTTACTAGATGGTAATATTTGGTTATAAAGTTACCTAATTTGAGCAAGCTGTAGTTGAAAACTTAAGTTCATTTAGAACAATTATTTTAAACAAAATCATTTTGCTACTTAAATAAAACAATAAAGTAGATTTATATGAATTTTTATTGAGGGGAATATGAATAGAAAAAGTTAGAAAAAATACTCAACTAAACTGTAAATCTGTTAAATAGGAATGAAAAACAGTTAAATATAATTGTTTTAAAACATGTTTAAATGAGCACTACTAAAAAATAGAATAGTAAAAAATACCAGAAATTTTTTGATTAACTCTTTATTTTTAGCAACATCAAAGACTTTTTGGAACAATAGATTACCAAGAATATTTCTTAAATCTTTAACAGGTATTTCTAAGGATGGATTACTTTATTTGGTTGTTGGTTCTAAGAATGTATTATAAATAATTGAAATAGTTCTAGATACTTTATTTCTCATTTTTTTAAAAGAATCAACTGAACCATCACAAAAGAAGTTTTCACTTTCTCGTTAAAAAATATCATTAATAAGATTTCTAGCCATTATTTCGAAAGCTAAATTGAAATTTAAAAATAGGAAAAAGAAGATAATAATCAATATTGAAACTGAAAATATAAGTTCTTTAGTAATCTATAATTTGAGTTATTTTTATTAAGGGATATAAAAGATTTATAATTACTATTAGATAATAAGAATTCAACTTTATATGTAACTGAGTCAGCTCGAAGGAATTATTTATCACAATTTTTTTTGCTCAGCTATTTCCCTGCTTTTACTTTATCAATATAATTTGATTGTTGTATTAATAATTTAATGTGGGCTATATTAATTAATTACACGTCTAAAAGATTTTTCAATCAAAAGTTATTCTTAAAACCTTTAGGTATAAAAAGCTGAAACATATATCATATAAAATTTTAATCATTGACGCGAAAATAAGTTATGAAATCAGCTTTTTAATTAATATTAATGAATAACTTTAGCTCAATAGCTGTGAATAATAGTATTCAAGTTTATTATTTGAAGCCCAAATTTCTAGATATCCAAAATATCTTCAACCAAAATTTTCATTATTTTGAAGTTATTGTTCCTTCATGTCGCTTGAGATCTGAATCGCATCATAATAATGGATGAAATAAAACATCTAGCTGAATAAATTGTATTTGAATTTTAGTCTTCTTAAGATCTGGGTATATAGATAATCTATATGGCAGGATAAGAATATAATCGATCATTAAAAGAATGATATTAAAATAAATATTCTTCTATTTTTATTAATATCTTATTTTAACAATAATAATTATTTAAATAATAATGGGTTTATTTTTCATTCCACAAATATATAGCATTCATTTAATTTCAATTATTACGGGAAAACTTAAAAAATACTATAATCTGGTAACAATAGAACCTAATTTAAGAGTTTATGAAGTTTTTCTAAAAATAAATTTGACTGTGTTTCAAATTACACAATCTAATTTATATTTTTATATAATTTTTTTTTTAAATTCCAAACATAATATTTCATTTTCAAATTTTCCTTATACTCAGAATTTTAAGTTGTTCATGCACATGGTTTGATATTCATACAAAATTTCAATTGATAGAATTAGAAAATTAAATCTGAATGAGCAATTTTCTATTAAAAAGGTATTTACTTTTTTTCGATAAAAGGTATATTTAAAGATTCTCTACTATTCATTTAAAAATTAAACAATTTATAAGAGCTTCTTTTGAAATGACAGAATCGCACAAAGATAAATTTACGTATTCGCTAATTGACTAAGTCAAAGTTTAATAATATTGTGCAACAATTGCAATATCAAAAGAAAATTCTTAGATTTAAGCGTCATGTTGGAACATGATTAAAGTATTTTAATTCAAAAAAGAGAATATGAAATAAGTCAATTTGATTAATGGACACAATAAGAGAATTACTTTTTTAGAATTTTATAAGACTTACACAGTGTCTTCTGATTTTTAAGGATCCTTAAAATTTTGGCCAATTAATCGGATTTATTCATAGAAGTTTATATGGAAAATCTAAGCTCATGAATTAGTCATCCTGGGCTTAGCTATAAATAGTGAATAAAATTGCATAATTTCTTCTAGTTAAGATTAGAAAATTAAATTTTGGACAGAGAAAAATGGATGGTAATGTAGTTAAACAATAACTGATCATGATGATACTATTTATAATCTAAGTCTTAGTGAAAAAGGGGATAAACTAATCTCTTGTAGTAAGGATAAGTAAATCTTTGTTATAGAATTACAAAGAAATAAGAATATAAAATAATGGAATATCGTTCAAAAAATCGATGTTTAAAAAGAAGGATATAGGTTATGTTTTATTAGCGATAATTTATTCACATTTTAATAATGGGGTGAAAATTTTATGGATATTTATGAATTGGATAGTACAAATAAGTTTGTAAAAACTAAAAGCACAGTTATTTAAGGAGGAATACGTTGCGATTGTTTATTTCCATAATAATATATAAAATAAAAAAACTTGCTTGTTAATAAGAATTCCTAAAGTATAAACTTAATTAGAAAGTAAGAAAATAATGAATTCATAACAGAGATGTCTATTGATTTATCAACAGATGAAAATATTTATGGCTAAATGAGTTAAGACGGTCAATACTTAATTACATGGGATTAAGAGTCATCATTCCTTTAAATACGTAAATACATGAATATTACTTGAATTGTATTCTTTTTAATCAAATTATAAATATCAAAACTTATATTCCTTTTTGAATTAAAAAAATTAAAATATTTTAAATCATTTTATTGACACATCTTTTATATTAAACTTGATTGAAATTTAAATAAGCGAATAAATATTTAAAGAAATTTAAATTTATTGTAATTGATTTGGTTGTATGGAATTATTGCAACTTTCTTATTTTATAAGTTTTGAAATCTTTCTTTTTTATCACTTTTTGCACATCTTATAGTTTCAAGAGAATCAATTTTTTGCATTTTTTAATTTAATTTATTTTTATCAAATTATATTTTATATATTTTTTGTTTTTTTTCATAATTAGAGCTATAAATTTATTTTTAAATCTCATTCTTTCAGATGGCTATTATTGGTTATTATATAAAGTTCATAAAGAAATTTCATTTTATTTTGGATTAAATTAATTAAATTTCATAATTCGTAAGACTTTTTATTGATTTCTATTTCTGTGATTTATATTAAATTTCTAATTATTTTTAATTATTATTCAGTTTTTTTGAATTTTTAAAAAATTAATGTCTATTAACTGTTTTCATTTCCTTATATTTTATAGAGCTCAAACAAATATTATAAGTTTATTTTATGTAAATTAGGTTCTGTCAGACTTGCAATATTTATTTATTATTCACTATAAGAACTTTTATGAATTAATGATTTGCAGTTTTTTTTACCAATATTTTCGATAATAATTTGTATAAATACTATAATTCAGTTTGTTTGAAAGGAAGTATCTGGTAATAAAAAGTAATATATTTATGTAATGGTTTTTAACCCAATAAATTTAATAACAATTTTTGAATAAATAAAATTAAATTTATATAACAATAAAATTGCTAAGATAAAAAAGGTAGCTTTCATCATATTTATATGAATTAGTTATTATTTTTATTAATTAAATATGAAATTTGATATTTGAATTAATATATCAAAATATTTTAATTTTGTTTATTTATTAACGTATAAATTTCATAAATACAATCTGCTAGAAATAGAGAAAATTGTAAAATAAAAAAAAATATTAGATAATTTAATGGGATAACTATTTTCTAAAGAGTTTGATCTAAATAAAGTTTTGGATTTATAGAATTTTTAGATTTCTAAATAGAACTAAATTATCCTAAATAAATTAATTTAATTGTTTTAATTAAAAAATTTCGAATTTTAATGTTTATTTCATTAACGAAAAAAAGTTTTAAATATTAAAATTTTTAAACATAATCTAATTTAAATTATTTGCTTTACAAATAATTATACATATATTAAGTGATTTGAAGTCTTATATAAAATTAATTTTTTGCAGTTATTTAAATTTTCTGAGAGAAACCTTAATTTTTGAGCATAAATTTAGAAATTAGGCGTCTATCTTTTCAAATTAGATTTTTAATTTGAAAAGATTATTCTTTGTCAATATCATAAACTAGGAATTTTAAATATTATCTAAAAAATTATGTTAATTGATAGGTTTCTTCTAAGATAATAATAAATATACTTGAGATATCATATAAATTTCAACTCAAATATTTCATATTCCAAATGAATGGGTATATCATTTACACTCTTTTTAATCGACGAATCACATAATTTAGAAAAATCTTCTTTATTTTTTATCACAAACAACCATCAAGACAGGAGATTATGTTCCTACTAACGTAAAATATCCTCTGCATTTTCAATCATTTTTGTTGAAATCATTTATTAATTTAAAAAAAAGTTAAAATATTCTATCTTATTTTTCTAGCCCAAGGCTGATTTTTGTTTACAAATCATTTGAAAGTTTTCATGAGAAAAGCATTTCAAGTAATACTAAAAATCATACATATATTTGGAGAAACAGGTTTTTTACAGAATTTAGAGTCATTCAAATAAATAGAGTTAGATCTTTTTTTCTTTTGTAAATTAACAAATGTAAATGAAGAACTTGAATTAAGATTATAGTAATTATCAATCAATCGAATAGGTCTTTTTAAAGATTAGAAGGTCTTTCTAAAATTTATTCAATATAAACAATAGGAAAATAAGAGCACACTAGTAGAAGAAGAGGATGAAGAATATAATGATTTTATCAATAAATGTTTGACATAAGATGTTAACAGAAAGAGTATAAAATAAGACTTACAAAAAGGATTCATAATTATTAAATTGATATTGATTCTGATAATCAATATATTCTTAGATTATATAAAGGATTGTGTTTAGAGAAATTTGATGAGCTTGACTCAGTATTTTATGAAACATTAACGAATTTACTAAAATAAATGAATATATAAAAACCTATAAACATTATAATATTAAATATTCTATTATAAGTATAATTCAAAAAGTTGACATAAATTAGATTCATTAGACCCAAAGGAATTTCTGCAAAAAATGATAATTATGTTCCTTCTTCTTCCACTACCACATTACCTTCATTATAATATTGAACAAGAATTAATCATAATATTGTTCTCTATGAAATATTCCAATTTGTTACTCAAATTCCTTCCAAAATCTCCCTCACTAGTTTTTTCTTATTTTTGAATTTTAAAAATCCTCTATAAGTATTTTGCAGTTAGTTATTGATCTTCCATAGATTTTCTACTTAACTCTTAGTACCTTAACATACCCATTCGATTTTATAAATATTATAAATTTTACCATTAGTAATCCTGATATTTTCATCCTTACATAATCTTTTATCACATTAACCAGTTTAACCATGCAGTTTCTTATTTTCTATTTTCATAGCTATATTTGAAAACCTTTTAAACTGATCACCCAGTATCCTAGATTAACATATTCATCTTAAGTTCAAATATTATTTGCACTCAATCTACAAGATTTGAATTACACACAAAGGATCAAATTTGCCCTAAGATATAAACTATTATTATTATTACTCCAGGCATAATTATTGCCTCTTAGAAGACTCATTTCGATAACCAATAATTAATAAAGTAGTTTTTATTGAATTTACTAATGTATCTTCCCTTTTAATCTACATTATCAATAAGTCTAAAAAAATACACTGTTCTTAAGATCAAGAATAATACATGAAGAACAATCATGTTATCCTCTACATATGTAAACTCATCTTCAATGAAAGAATGACAATAAAAAATTATAAATTTCACTTTTATAGAATTATTATTTCTTAACTGAACTTCCCTATAATCAACATCGAAAGAATATTATCAATACAAATTCAATAAATTGAAAAACTTTCATTAATACAACCTGAATTACAAACCTATTAAATTCATTGATAGTATAGGTAAATCTTCCAAATTCATGCATTCTTGTTCATTCTGAATTTACCATCTAATAATCTGAATAAATTAATATATTATTAAATTATAAGTAAGCGAAAAAAACATACGCTTGAAAAACTACATCATTTTTTATGTTCTTTCCTATTTAAAATAATTTTTCAAATGGCTTGGAATGCTTATTGTCTTTTATATGATTTGAACATTTTTTTTATTTAATCTTTATCATCGACTTTAATTTGAGGACTAATATTTTTTTAGTTTCATAAATAAGCATCTCTTTTCTAATGTAAAAGAAATTCAATTGTGGTCCCTTTTGATCTACTGCTATTCTTTTTATTTAAAATGATCCAAAATATCTAATGGATCTTGATGCTGCTAACCTAATTATTAAGACTATCAACTCACCCTTATCTAATTTTTTCTCTATTGCATTGTACAACAAACTTACATTTCTTTGATATGCCTGATTGATTTGGATCATTTTGATTTCAATCAGGATAGAATTGTTGGGATAGTTTACAATAGGCTTTTTTGATGTCTTTCATTAAAGCATTTAGAGAAACTCTCAAAATAACTTAATATTCTCGTATGCACTGATAGCTTCATTATATTTAATAATCAAAGATGAAGATACTCTCATTATTATGTATTTGATATTCATAGCCAATAAACTATTGTTAAATTAAATTTATCTTAAATTTTATGGACACATATATTACAAAATCTTGATTTAATCTATAAGAATAAATGATAAATTAAAATGAATCAAAAATTTCTATTAATGAGTTATTATTATTTTATAGATTGTTTACTTCAAGATATATAACTGGCATAAAAATAATCTCGGTTTTAAATTTAATATAAAAATTCAAAGTTGCATTTTGTTAAGTTTCAGGGCACTTATTATTAAAAGCAATACTTTTGAAACATCAGCTGCCGAATTAAAGTGGATTAAAATAATCATAAGTTTTACTTGGGAAAAAATTATTATAAATGAGTATGAATAGTTACTTTCGGTTGTTATTAAAAATTAACAAATTTTTGACTTTGATTAAGTAAAATTTTATAAATAATTTCGCGATAATAAGGAACTTTTTAGTAGTATATCATATATACTAAATTTTATTTGAGATTTAGCATTTTTATTAAAAGGTTTTAAGTTTTGATATCTATTCTATAAAACGCTAGCTAAAATCTTTTTAGTAGTTATTGTGTTAGGCATAAGTCAATGTCAATGACTAAATAAACAACAATAAATAAACAAGTAATATATAATAAATAAGTAAAGGAGCCAAAAAATGGCAATTTCAAATTGAGGGAGTTGATACTTAATGATGTTGCAAGGATTGTTAAGTTATAGGACAATCAGTCTAATTTAATGAATCGAAATATGAAATATTATTCACTCTTTGAGTAACAAGAGTACTGGTAAAATTGAAAGGCTACCATTCAAGTGAAAAAAATTTTAATCAGGCAGCATCTTTTGAAGTACTTTTCGTTCAGTAAAAAAATTTTAGAAATTGATGCTAGAAGTTCATAAATTTATTAGTCGAGATTCTTATACAATAATAGTGATTAAAATTAATGTATTCTAATTTACTTATGGTTTTGTATTGCTCAATAAATAAACTTTTGTAATCACAAAAATCATAGCTATTAAAGTCTACCTTGATATTTGATAAGTCAAAATAGATCCATTTTATAAGATTTATGATACTTCTTTAACTGTACATCAGATGTAGTAGCATGAAAATATGTTAGGTTTTGTATTTTGATTTCTAAAACTAGTGAAGCTTTCATATTTTCATATTTCTTTAAAAATTATATCACAATTAAAAATAGATTTAAAAATAACAACAACTATATATTTTAATTATAACACATCAATTCATGTGCAGAACCCCTTTATTTTTTTTATGGATAAAATTGTTGACAAAGTGTCCTAATATTATAATAAACTAATTGATCGCCTTTAATATTCCAAACTTTAATCCATTTTTGAGGCAATTTAAATAATTTCTAATAAATTATTTCCTGAAATTTAAAATTATTAAAGCTCTTTTTACTTTATCCATTTTTATATGTGTTTTTATCTTAACTGTTCTACTGTAAATCAAATTATATTAATATTATATAATCACGTAGTTTACATTAAATAATTAAAAAAAATTATCATTATTTTCACATATATACTGAACTATATCAAAGGGTTTAATGCATAATATTAATTTCGAAGATAAAATATAATAAAAAAGTTATAAAATAATAATTCTCAGAATTTAAAAAAGTTGATTTCATGAAAAAAGAAAATTATATGCTTTACCCCTTAATTAAAGAATAATTGTGAAAAATGTTGGCTTCATCTGGACTAATGATGAAATTTTAATTCAGCTTCACCGTTAAAATTAATTTATTATTTGAACTATAAATTTTTAATTTCTAATTACTTTAAACTTAATGTATTGATTATTAAATTTATTATTAAAAATTTAATTTGGAAAATAATTTTAGTCTTGAATGTTTAAATTTACCATTTGCGACTTCTTCCAAATTTCTTATTTTTGAATTTTAATTGTATTAATTAATTAAAATCTGTGTTTGAAATTAAGTTTTCTTTAATACTATATTTTGGAGAATAACTTTTTATTTAGTTCTTTTAATTTATTGAATTTAATAATAGAAAAGAATTATGCCAAAATATTGTTTCATAAATTTTTTATAATATTTACTTCATATTGAATTATATGATATTTTAAACTTATTTTTTGAAATAAAATTAGTAAAATATTATTATTAGAAAGTAAAAAAATGTTGATTAAAATTAAAACAGAAACTTCCTCAAACTATAAAATTAAACCAAGTCAATGAAAATCTATAAATAATTTTGAAAACTCTTAAGAGAATAGATTGATAGAAGAGAAAACATTCCCCTAAAAATTTATCATCAAGCTTTAATCAATTTTATTGATTTCATCACAAATAAATATATATAAGAAAAATATCATTTAATGTTTTAATGTTTTATGAATAACTCAATCTAATAATTTTCCATCCCAATTTTTGTATTTATTCTTGAGTTTCTTTGTTGTTACTATCCAGGCATTTATATAATGTTAACACTCTAACTGTCTCTTATTTGCTCCTCTATCTCTAATTGATTGGTGCCTTGTAAAGGTTATGTACATTCTTTAGAAAGTTGTGAAGATTTGTCCAGTCATTATATATATACATAGATTATCATACGCTGGTATAGCCATTAAGTGCCTTAACGGATATAAGCTTAGTTCTCTTATTAACATCTCCGGCTTTGTGATGTCATTGGTTTTAATTATCAGGTATTTGTTCGCCATCTTTTCTTTTGTTCAAATATCATTTACAAATAACATTTCCACAATATTAATAACTACAAAAAAAAAAAAGAAGAATTACTATTTTGTAAATATATATAATAGTATTTATACTTATTTTCTTATAATTGAATGGTTCTAGATCTTCCTAATTTTTAATGAGAATAAATCTCTTCAATATAATTGATTTTAACTACATAAATAATGATAAGATATGATCTATTCTGGAGATTGAATATCTATCAAAATTTTTTAGTTAATTTAAATTTTAAGTGCTTTATGATAAGGATAAATTTTCCTGTAATAGATAAGGAAATAGTTTGTTGTAATTTTTATTCGGCAAGTATCCCTAGTTAAAAAATAACTGGCATTTTTAAGCTTAAAAAAACATTTAGAATGCAATTGACTTTATTTAATTTTTGAGAATTCTAATTTTGTAATGATAAAAAAATTTATATCTACATTATTCGATATTATATCTCTTTTTCAAAATAATATCATCTAAAGTGTCGAAAATTGTGAAAGCTGTTACTCTATTTTTCACATTGAAGCAAAGAGAACAAAAAACTTTATTGAGATTCTATTCCTTTATATGATTGAAAATAATTACAAATTAATATCTTATTATTTTTTATCATTCATATTAGAATTTAAATTTTCATTAAAACTCATTTTGATTAAGAATCTTAATATTAATTTTTTAATTAAATCATATTCTGTAAACCTTATGCGCTTTCTCCTAAATAACATCAAAGCAAATACATTTATATAAACTCTTCCTATATATGTTTTTCAACACCAATCTGAATCTTAAAATAAATTGATAATGTAAGTTTTACCAATAAGTTGGTTTTGGATAGAATGTTATTATATTGATAATTTAAGTTTTTTAAACCTCATAAGCCATGTGTGAAAGATGTTAGGGATAAAGAAAATGTCATCTATATAAAGGTGATAAAAGTAACAGATTAAAATATTAATTCTTAAATAAATATAAAGAAAAAGGAATTTAAGATTAATAAACTATTGTAATCATAATTATAGATATATTAAAAAGCAATATGAGAACATGGCTGATGGAAGTAAAAATTCTTGCTCTGGTTATTATTCTATCTTTTAAATTGAATGAATACCTTATTAATTTTTAAAAGCTAAGATATGCTTTAAAATGCAGAGTAGAAAGTACTTTTGAAGAGGATTTACTTGGTTTCGAGAAAAATATAAAACATCAAGATAATCATCTCCACTTACAATTTAACTTTGACTTATTAAAATGCTAGAAATAAAATTTACCATAAAATTTTTGATTATTAAACATTTAAAATTTAATTTGATAAAATAAATGCGATAAATAATATTATATAATTAATAACGGAATCATATGATTTAACAAGTCGATGAACAAACTGTTTCTACTTTTGGAGCTTAAGGGATGTATTAATATAATATAATTGCATCTTCAAATATTTCTCTAAGCTTTTTTTATTGCTTTAAAATTTATTCTTAGTTTTTTTCTAAATAATTTAAAATGATTAATGCATCTTCTATTCCTTAAGACCAATATATATCTTTAAATAATTCTGAAGAGCTGCTTTCCTTAGCTACTAATTCATCTACTCTTTAAGTAAACGCTGTTCTTTTTTTCACTTTCAAATTAGGCAATTGCTGTTTTCCTAATTTAATTGCTGCCATTTAAACCTCAATTTCTAGTTATGCTGGATTCACTGCAAATTATATTATAATTTCATTCAGAAGTTTTAATCTTCTGTTAAATTTATTCTCATTTTTTGATTCAATTGCATAATCAAGTGCCGCATTAATAATCCCAAAAACATCTCCAACAACTGGTATCGGTCCAGAAACAACTGATCCCACATTGAATATTTTTTAAACTATGTTTAAGACCTTTTCTGAGTTACTTTCAATCATAACATTTGTATTTATTTTATATAAATCTGTTGAGATTTGAGACATAGCTTGTAAATAATTTAAAAGCCTCCAAACTAAAGACATATAGTAAGTTTTTTAATGTTTATTTTCTGATTTATCTAAATCTTTCAATTATAATTCTATTTAATTACGATCTTACGAAATTAACATATCTATTTATTACTACATTTTATTCTATTCTTCCTCCATTTTATTTTATTGTATTTAAAGAGAATTGATTCTTTGTAAAACTTGAATGAGTTAGTCATTTTACTATTATTAAACTTCAGGTTAGGTTTATTGATTCAATGGATTGGATAAGATTTTAGGTATAGAATTTTGTATATTTTATAATTCTTATTCTTGTTAAATACAATCCTGTTTTAATTATCCTGTTTAAGTCAGAAATTTATAAAGCTTTTATTTGCTTTCAGTTATTTTTTAATCTAATTCTTTAAGGAGCTCAATCTTTTTTGTAATAAAATTCAAATTTCCTTTGCTTAAAGATGATATGGATATTTATTGTTAGGTAAGATTTTATAAGGTTGTTTAAAGTGTTTAAAAGCAATCAAAAGCTTCAGTATTCTGACCAAGAGAGTAATACAAATCACCAAGATTACTTAATAATAATGGATGATTTGGAGAAGCAGCTAATCCTTATAAGTAATCGTTTTATGCTTTTTCTTTTTCGCCAATACCTATGTATAAATTGCCTAATATTAGTTTAAATAATTCACCTCTATTATTATAGGCAAATGCAAATTAAGGATCAAGTTGGATTACATAATTATAATCACTTAAGGCTTTTTCCTTTTCACCAATTTAATTGTATAAATTGCCTAATATTTATTTAAATAATTTACCTCTATTGTAGAAGGCATTTGCATATTTAGAATCAAGTAAAATTGCTTGATTATAATCGTCTAAGGCTTTGTCTTATTCACCAATTTCTTTGTATTGATTGCCTATTAATATAAGATTAAATAGTTAACCTCTATTGTTGTAGGCAATTGGATCTATAGGATCAAGTAGAATTGCTTAATTATAATCACTTAAAGCTTTATCTTTTTCACCAATGCCTTTATATAAATTGCCTAATATTTATTTAAATAATAACCTCTATTATAATAGGCTTTTGCATATTTAGGATCAAATAGAATAGCTTGATTATAATCACCTAAGGCTTTTTCTTTTTCTCCAATTTCATTGTATAAAGCACCTTATATTAATTTAATTAATTCACCTCTATTATTGAAGGCCATTGCATATTTAGGATCAAGTAAAATTGCTTGATTATAATCGTCTAAGGCTTTTCCTTTTTCACCAATTTCATTGTATAAATTGCCTAATATTAATTTAAATAATTTACCTCTATTGTAATAGGCTTTTGCAAATTTAGGATCATTTAGGATTGTTTGATTATAATCGTATAAAGATTTGTTTTTTTCACCAATTCCTTTATATAGATTACCTAATATTTATTTAAATAATTTACCTCTATTATAGTAGGCTTATGCAAATTTAGGATCAAGTAGGATTGCTTGGTTATAATCGCTTAAAGCTTTGTTTTTTTCACCCATACCTTTGTATAAAGTACCTAAGATTAGTTTATTGAATTAATTCACCTCTATTGTAGTAGACTTTTGCTTATTTAGGATCAAGTAGAATGGCTTGATTATAATCGCTTAAGGCCTTTTCCTTTTCACCAATTTCATCATATAATACGCCTCACATTAATTTAAATATAAACCTCTGTTGCTATAGGCCATCGTATATTTAGGATCAAGTAGGATTGCTTCAGAATAATCGTTTAGGGATTTTTGTTTTTCACCAATTCTTTTGTATAAAATGGCTATATTAATTTCAATAGTTAACCTCTTTTGAAGTAGACTTTTCTTTATTTAGCATCAAGTAGGATTGCTTAAGTATAATCGCTTAAGGCTTTTTCTTATTCTCCAATTTCTTTATATAAATCACCTTAAATTTATATTCTAATTCACCCCTATAATAGAAAGCATGAAAGCAATCATTTTCTTTTTTTAAAGCTAATTCAAATTACAATAATGCCTCTTCATATCTTTTCTATTCCTTTAAAATAATCCCTTCTATAAATATTTCTTATACCAATTCTACAATAAGTCCTTGCAAAATTTGAATTTATTACTATACACTTCTAGCAATCTTCCATAGCTTTTTCATACAACTTTAATCTCCAAAATATTGTAGCTTATAATTTATTTCTTAATTTACCTCTTTAATAGAAACTCTCGACTGAATTATCATCTAATTATATGCTTTTGTTTAGATCTTCCAAACCTTGATCAAACAATTTTAATCTTTCAAATAGTTCTCCTAAGAATATTATTATATTTATTAAACCTCTCAAAGTGTATGCTTCGGCAAATTTAGGGAAAATATCTATTGCTTTGTTAACTTCCTCTAAAGCCTCTTGGATTCTAAAAGTTTTTTTTAACTCCTTAACATTTTCAATTTATAATTATACTTAGCTTTTTGAACAATGTTAAACTGCTGCTAGTCTATTATCTTCTTCAAGATTGCTCTTCATCGTTTTAGAAGATGTATCCAAATTTTGTTAATTAAATTAAAAATTTTTCAGTATTTTCAATGTGCTTAAATACCAAAGTTCTTAAAAAAAATATCTAATAAATTTCTTTTAAAAAAATATTGCAGAAAAATGATTTTCTCAGAAATAATTTAAAGTGCATTTATTTAAATTCAAATAGTATTAAATTAAAAATTTAATGAGAATTATTAAGATTTTAAAGGAAATTGTATACTTTGATCAATTTAAAAACATCATTTTAAAAATTTAAATCATTAATAGTTAATATTAAAAGTAATTTTAAGATGGTACAAATAATTCTTAAAATTTTCTGAGAGGCGAATTTTTGATTAGAAATGGCCAATCTATCTGAGTAATGAGGAAGGCAGAATAAATATTTAATAGGCTTACCATATACAGGTTTAAATCCTGTAGCTAACTAAATTTTTATTTTTTTTAATTTTTATAAATTTCAATAATTTATTTACAAGTATAAATATAATTACTAATTAAAAATTTTAATCAAGCTTAGATCCAATATGTATAAAACTTTGCATGAAGTAATCATTTAAATAAATTATTCATTATATAGAATTAGAAGTTAATCCAAATAGTTTTTTGTATTTTATAAAATATTTGATTGCACTAATCATTTTAAGAGAGCTACATAAACCATATTGTACCTCTATTATTTTTGAAAACAGAAATAACGCTTGTACGTTATTATAAGAATTTAATCATACACCCAAGCCTTCGAGAATCACCTTAATTATGCTATTACTCTTTTCATATGGATTGAAAAATTGTAGTTTTAAATTTCTATAAAGCCAGCAGAATTGGTGCCTCATTCTCTATTTGATTCTAAATCTATATAAATCTTATAATTATTCTAGAATCTAGAGGCTTTTGATAATTGATCTTTTGTATTGAGTGAGTTTGATTGACTAGTTGCTTTTTTTTTGGATTTCTTCTTCAAAAATCTCATATTCAAGTAATTCTTATATAAATATCAAATTTATATTTTCTTTATTATTGATAAAATATTTCCTGCCCTTTATATTGGCAAGGAGGCATGCAAACAATTCAGTCCGTAATAAAGTGGCATCAAAGTAAGTGAGATATCTCAATAATTACCTTTGAAATAATCATAACCAGTCTAATTTATGTCTAAAGTAACTGGCATATCAATTTAGAAGTGCCCTTTTGGATCTTCACAATCATATTTAGATAACTTCCAAAGATACATCAAGGCAAGCATCCAAAAAAGGATATGTTTAAAATCAATTTTACAAACATAAATCACTACGATAATAACAATAAGTTTTTAATTATCAAGAATTTGAACAAGTCACGCTAAAATTTAATTAAGCTGTGTTCTAGTCTCAACCCTCACTATTCTGCAATCAGTTTATGCCTAATAAGACAAAGCATGCATTGTTTCAATTAAAAATGATGTGAACGAAGATATAAACATTATTTTTACAACAGCATTTTTAAATACAAAAAAATTCATCTTTAGCCAAATAAAATTGTGATTCTTCATGATATTTTAAACTATAAAATAAATAGGCTAAGCCCAATTATGAAAATTTGATTTAATTTCTAAAGGCAGATGGAAGTTTTAATATTAGTGATGATTTGTAAATAAGGGTCAACTTTTGAATTTAAACAATTCACAAGGTCTTCATGATGATATATGGAATACTTTTTTAATATTAATAACAAATATTACAAATATTACTTTCCAAAGCAATTACCAAATTATTTATAATTTGAGTCTTAATTGGAGCATGATGGCATTTTTTTTTCACATTAATTATTAATACAAATACCATTTCATCAATTGATTAATGCAGTAAATATAATCCATTTTATAATCATAATGCATACTTAAATAATGTGTTTTGTTTAAGCATTAGTCATCTTAATGCTCACACTTCTTCCTTATTAATATGTATCCGCCTGCACTTTCAATATCTTTACAAAAATTTTCTAATTCTATTTGTTGTATAAACTAGTCTATTTTTAAACTGAAATATTAGAAACAATATTTGAAATTTTCATTAAGTTTCAACTAAATTTCCTCTAACTTTAATTTACATTCAAAGTTTTTACATATTTTTTTCTCAACCTTATTCTTTTTCAACTTATCAAAAGCATATCAAATAATATGCTTTAGGATATCCTTGTCATATTTTCCACTCTGAATATAATATATATACTCTCTGTAAATTTTGTAGAGATAAAATCTCCTTTTTTTATAACTAATATAATCACAAATAATTTATATTTTTATCATAGAAACAACTTTAGTAACTAGCTAGTCTCCCAAAAAATAACTAAAAGATATCTATCTTTGTTCTCCAATAATTAATTTTATTATCAAGTATTCGCTTAATATATTTAGCGATTGATAATCATTTTTTTGATATTATAGTAATGAATTCAGTGAAACATGCCTATAATTGATCTTTCAACGTAATTACTATTATCAAAGTTTAAGAAGTAATATCTCATTTAACGAGTTAAAATGAAGAACAAGAATATTAGGAAAAGAAAAAAATAAAATTTCTATAAAAATAAATGATTAGGAATTAGAAATGGAATCAGCTAATAACTGATTAAACATTAGACAATAATAATTGAACAAAATCAAGAAATAATAACTCTTAAGTAATTAAAAAGATAGAGTTAAGAGAGAGATAGCAATAGTGATTACTTCAAATAATAAAATTAATAATCCCTTAATGATATACATTTATATATATAAAATCATCAAAGATAATATAGTTTGGTTTCTAAATGATAATATGGATATGCTTTGATAATATTTACGAAACTGTGTGAACATTTTGTAAATTTCCAAAATTATTGTCTAATGCTTTTTCTTTTACTATGATTGATCATTGAGACATCCAATTTTATCAGTACAGTAAGCTAAAACCAGCATTTTTATCTATCCTTTCTATTTTTCCATTTCAATAGATTATAATTTTATAAATATTTTAGATGAAATAATAATTATTATAGAAAAAATACATCATCCACAATAAGTTCAAAATTCTTCGAACTCTGAATCTAAAGAAGAGGATTCATTTATCAAATTTTATTCTTTGAATATATTATCTAAAATTTTGTATATTTAATACTTGAAGTAGCTGTGGATGAAAGTGTATACATAGATTGATTAAGACTTAGCTCATTATGATCATCATTCTCTAAATCAACAAAATTGAATATCATTGATTTTAAATCAGGTAATAAAACATGGTCTGATTTTGAAATTATTCCAAGAAGGCTATCCTCATCATTAACTTTTATTATTTATCCTATATTCTTTTGGAAGTACATCTTCATGTTTGCAACTATGTTAAACTCTATTGTCATATTTTTGTTTGAATTGTTCATTTTTCCAAAATCTTAAATCTTTTTAATTAATTATTAAAATCATAAACTCCTAGATTAAGTACTCAATCTGAAATAAAATAAATTTCGTTCGACTAAAAATTAATATATTAGATAAAAGGAAAAGTATGTAAAATTAAACTTTAGAAATGACTTACAGATGAAACAATTATTCTTTGAAAAATACAAAATACATCTTATAATTGTATTTTTTTACATTTTTTCTTTGTTTTTATTTTTCAAGAATAATATTATTATTTTTGTTAAAATAATGAAAATAAAAAGTACTTCTTAAAATAATTTTTAATTAAAAAAATAATATTTGTATTTAAAGGAGGTAATATAGATCTAGCATTTTTTAATTGAAATTTAAATTATTAAATATAATTGTGAAATTTAAAAAAAAAAAGACTATTAGTTTCCTGGGGCATACAATGATTATACTTCAAATT